GGAAGTGACACGACCACGCCGGGCACGCTGGACGTGGGGCCACGGTCATCTGAGGGAAAACTCTATGGTTTTCCCTCGAATGGTCGTGGCCCTGCCCCCAGCATGCCCAGCGTGCCCGTGTCACTTCTGGGCAACGTGGATGTGGCGCGCGTGCTCCATCCACCAGCTGAAAGTCCCCGGCTGCGGCGAGATTCGGACTTGGCAACCCTACCTGGAGGTGGGCTTCAAAAGCATTTAAATGCCTTCAGAGCTCACTTGGGTGAGGCTGTTGGTCAGTGGTGGGCTCTGACAGCATTTATATGACTTTGGGGCTCATTTCTGAGTGGGCCACCAGACCCAGAAGTAAGTTCCTAAGGCTTTTAAATACCTTCAGAGTCCAAGAACATGTCTCCCATGAACCTCACAAACCTCCATGGTTTGTGGGAGGCTCATAGGAGACACATTCTCCTGGACCCCTGGTTTGCAATCCATGAACCGGCCTGGTTCGTGCTTGAACCAAGATTAGGGCTGCCAAAGGCCCCCGGGGGGCGGAATTCCCCCCGCTTTCGAGCCCCGCTTTCTGCTCCCGCTGAATAGGGGCCCGGGGTAAACCCCACCCCCACGTGTGCGTCACCCGGAAATGGCGTCGCACGCTGGGAGCGGGGCCACGCCATTTGAGGGGAAAACTCTTTGTTTCCCCCTCAAATGGCGTGGCCCCGCCCCCAGCATGTGACGGCACTTCCGGGTGATGTACACGCGGCGCACGCGCTATGCGCGCGCGCATGACTACAATGCCAGCCAGGAGCCCCCCACTCCCGGTGAAAAAACATTTGGCAACCCTAACCAAGATTCATTTGCAGCTTTGTGCCCATCCCTAGTCAGAAGTGCAAGAAAATACACTCTGAGATCTTGTGGCCTTCAGATGCTTTAACTGAGGGGAGAGAGCAGCTGGTATGTTATTAAAGAAGGTTTGGTGTAGTGGTTAGGAGCGTGGACTCTAATCTGGGAGAACCGGGTTTGATTCCCCATTCCTCCACATGCAGCTGCTGGTGTGACCTTAGGTCCATCACAGTTGACTCAGAGCTGTTCTGGAAAGAGCAGTTGTTGAAAGAGTTCTCTCAGCCCCATCACAGGGTGTCTGTGGGGGGGGGAAGAGTGTGTAAGCCACTCTTTCAGGTAATGAAGATCAGGGTATGAATCCAATCTCCTCCTCCTCCTCATTGTCGTCGTCGTCGTCGTCTCCTCCTCCTCCTCCTCCTCTTGATCAAAAAACCCCAACTGGCTTAAGAAACTCCCAGCAGGGTGACAGCCAACCTTTCTGAGTAGAAAAAAGATCTCTCTGGTGTATTCCGAGCTGATGATCCCTCTATATCTGCCATTTCTTTTCATGTCTGGTTCCAGTATTTTTCAGACTGGTTTCATGAAGAACCATCCTGTGTTGAGTTACTAGATTCCCCTTAGTCTATCTGCCTGACTGTCCTCCTTTGTCATTGGATGGAATTAAAGAATTGATTGGTCAGCTGAAATCAGGGAAGGCCCCTGGCCCTGATGCCATCACCTCCGAAATTCTAAAATTAGACCTGGACTAGTTGGCCTCTCTCCTTGCATCTTTATTTACACTAATAGATAGAACTGGCATAAACCCTTCGGCGTGGTTGGATGTAATAGTGGTTCCGCTGTATAAAAAAGGCGATCACATTAACCCTGCCAATTATAGTCCCAATAGCCTACTATTTATTATAGGCAAGTTATATACTAAACATCTATTGGTCAAGCTTCATCTTTGGATGACACAGGAAATAATTCTCGGATCTGAACAGCTGGGTTTTTGTAAAGCAAAGACCACTTTAGACCACTGCATTACCTTATCCCACTGAGTTGACAAGGACACTGTGTGGAACAATCAGAAATTATTTGTAGCTTTCCTGGACTTGAAAGGTGCATTCAATTCAGTTGACAGAGACCTTCTTTGGATTAAATTAGATCATCTGAATATGGACAAGAGACTTCTTTTGCTCATTAAGAAACTTTACACTCTTAATACTTGCCAGATGAAAGGCTCACT